TAGAGATTGTGAAGGATAAGTTCCATATCCATGGAGAAGCAGCGAGGCCTGCAGCCGCGGCTCAGGGTAATTCATCGAGCTTGCTCGCTGAATGTCTGAGGAAGGATCGATAGAGAACTGATTCATGTTTAATAAAATTCCGATGAAGGTCTGATAAAGTTCCGAAAAAGGTCCGATGGAGGTCCGATGGAGGTCCGATGAAGGTCTGATAAAGTTCCGAAAAAGGTCCGATAGAGGTCCGCGGACCTAAATAAGAACCTTACGAAACCTTAACATAATTGAATCAAACGAAACACGGAGATGCGCCGCTGGATACGGTTCGGATAACACTGGATTATTCTGAAAGCGGAGCCGAGCGGAGGCTGATATTTTTTTATAGCCTAGTCAGACTCCAACGCGTCCAAGAAAAAATTTCAACGAGACGATCGAATGCGATCATGAACTCCCGGCACCGAGGAAATTCGCAAAATATTTGAGAAGATGGGGTCCTTCATCAGAAATCGATTGTGAGGTCAGGGAGCGACCGATTCCGTCGAGAAAGGGTCTCAGACAAAGATCGGGATCCGGATGGGACTTACTGAAAGTTTTTTCCTCCATCGAAAATCCTCGGCGTGTGTCTCTCGTGGAAACCAACTATTGAATGACTGAGTCGACAGAATCGCTACTTTCTGAAACCCTTGTTTTGTGTTTTCCGCAACCGCCTCTAGCCGACACTGTAGATCGGAGGTGTCAGGTTTCTAGACTCTCAGATCGAGTCGAACATTTATAGCTATCTCCGAGTTCGTTCTTTCGCCATGACTTTTTTCCACAAAAAAAATCGATTTGGCTCCACTGTGCGTCGAGACTCTACTTGGGTGAACATCTCACAGAGACGGCGCGGGGACCCCGGCGGCGCGACGGATGTCCCGGCCAAAAGCTCGACGCTTTTTCACGCTGGTGATCCGAGAAACACAACGATAGAGTCCCTTCATCAAAATCGCTGCGGCCTGGCATCCTTCTCGTGGTCCACGATGAATCTCTGGGAGGTATCGCCAAGTTTCGATAAGAGCGAGTGGCGATTCCAGGTGAATTAACAGCCCCTAGAGTCCCCTGCCTTCGATACGGATCGTGTTGTTCCAATGCGCTCGAAACACACGCGGGAGGTATCATCTGGAGAAAGTTCCGTGGTCTATCGCGGCGCTTCCCTGAGCGATAAAACTTGAGCTTCAATGGAAGGAGCTCCGACTGATGTCGCCGAATCTTTGAGAAGCACCTGCGAGCCGCGGACGAGGAACTGGAATTCCCTCGGTATGGAGCCATGCAAGTCGATCTAATGATGGAACGACCAGTCAGCAAGTCGTATGGCTCGAGGTTCTTCCTTAGATGAAGGGAGAACGAATAGGCGGGACCCGTCGTCGTCGGCTTGGAGCTATCCCTCAAGAACATGCTCCTCCGGAGACCAGTAAAATTGTAGCGCAAGGACGATGACGATTATACCGTGACGGGGAGGCATCGTTTAAGGTCTTCCGAATTATGGAATTCGAGCGATTTGCCGGCATTTCTTGTTAATCCGAAGATGGTAATCCCTTCTCTCCACGAGCCGGGTCCTCCCCCTTTCCGATAATGGATGGACGCGTAGAGCTCCCCCACGGGAGCTCCCCAGGAAGTTTCATCTGCCTGCGATCCTAAGTCCCCGGCGGAATTTTCATGGGAGCACAATTAGAGGTAGCGGACCAATGGAAAGGTCAACCCCCGGATTCTGACTTCGGGTTCGCCAGAGGATCCCACACCGATGAAGATCTCGGTCGCGAAGTTTTTTTTGCTGCGATGGACCTCAATGATGATTTAGTTTCGAGACTTCGCTATTTCGCTGGCCATACGGATTATCCAGCTCGTGGACAAGTTTCGGATGCGATAATTTCCAGAATTAGGGAGCGTTGAGCATACTAGAGGGGAAAGAAATGCATCACCGGGATCCTTTTTCATTCCCGATGATTCTTATTCAACTGAATGGGCGAATTGGAGGGCTCCTTCGCGATCGCCTGATAGGGGAATCGGAAATCATTGGTCCGAAGCAACACAAGCCTGGAACTCGAGGCAGAGTTGAGGCTACCATCTCTCCCGTTACATGCACGATTGATGAATTCCGGCTGGTGTCGAGCTGCATCCCATTGCCCAAGGTCCCGTCGTGATCTTTTTCCCTGAGATCTGTTCGTGCCGATAAAGACACGCTTCGCACCGACACCGACGGGAGGCGCTCCTCGAAGGAAGCGAACCACATGCCGCTCATTTGGACGTGAGACCAGCGAGAATAAGATCTAGAACAAGTCAACGCCTTCGGTATCCAACATGATAGTCCGCGGCTTGTGTCAGATCTTCTGCTGTCAAATCAGCGCGACTCGCCAGGCTGCTCGACGGTGATGAAAGAATCGACGACTCTGATTGACATGGATATTTCCCCAATGGAGGGAGTTGATTACGGCATTTGAAATCATCCATCAGAGTGGAATATACTTTCTGTCAGAGTCTCTGTGAAATACGAATCGTTGTTTCGGGAATAGTATTTTCCGAGTATCTCAGCATATATCTGGCTCGAGAAAAGGGTGAGCAGCGGGCTATGGGTTTGTACTATGTCCGGACACAGTCCGCCTGGCTCTATCTTGCGAGGGTCGCGACCTCGGAGCAGGCGAATACTTCGGAATAAAACGTAGAAAAGTTGGTACGACTGCATGTTTCCAAGGGGGAGCTCAACGAGATGCGCGAGTAGGAATTCAGGTCACTTGAATAATAGATAAAACTGATGTGAATCGCGTCAATAATTCTTCTCGATCCGGACCTCTCGGCATCCTTCCTCGTACATGTTTTGGGAACCATCCTACTGGAGAATCTCCTTGCGTTCTAATCGACCAAAGGGATAAGCCAAATTCATTGAGCTCGAGCTCTGTCCCTTCGACCTATGACCTCGGCATCTCTGGGAGACCCGGCGGCGTGAGAGAATATCTCTGTGCTTCGGATAAGGGAGCAAAGTATGCTGGAACCAGTCCTGGTCTGCACTGACGGATCGGGGCCGCTCTGTGAGCTCTACGAGTCCTTTACGAGCAGCAGGACCGAGCTCTCGACATCAGGCCCTTGTGATCCTCCTCCTTTCTTCCCAGTTTTTGAGTGCGTAAACAGTCGATTGCTCCGTATTCGTAAGCAATCGAATGCTCCGTCTCAATATCGTCCCCTGATAGCCCCATGACACCGATCCCGAATACTTTCATTCAGCATCCGATTCGCCAGCCAGCGAGAGCGCTTGAGGATTAGCTCTCATCGAGGTCTCCCCGAGCAAGGAGTCCTCTGAACAGGATATTCCAGGATAAGCGAGGCTCATCGTACACAATCTCATCGAGACACTTCCAGTTTCCGACGTTATATGAGTCGCTTTTCTTATCCGTTTGAGGATAAAGATGTCCAATCCGATCGGTAATCTACCCGCAGCCTCGGAAGAGCACCCGCATCGCACTCGAAATCCATTCGGCACTAGCACGTGCGCCAATTGAGATCTCGCGGCGGACACGCTGTGATGCACGAGATCCTTAATGGAGTTTTCTGAAAACATAGAAATGGATAATGAGGGGAGACCATATTCGTCTGAAAGTCCTCCAACTCCGTCAGGAATACTCGGAAATCGGGGCTCCCGACCCGCGACCCCGAGGCGCCGATGAAGCCGCGCGGAATCGAGGGTGTCTCCGCACTCGGGCTCCATTCTCCAGCATCGAGGGGTTCAAACAGAAAACCTGTCGAAGTTCGCTCCGGCAGTTGGTGTGCCGGGCGATTGTCTGCTCGTTCTCAGCGGCACCATTGGTTCCGTGTGCGCTGATAGCTGTGAGTGTAGATTCTCGGTCAGGAGAGGGAAGGCTCTCTCGTCCAATAGCAGACGTGCAACGTGTTGTGACGATGCTTTAGCATAGTCTTAGGGAAGCCGGTGCCACGTCTTGGCTCTCAGACAACGCGAGGCAATCATGCGATCGGGTGCTGTTCTTCTCTCGTGCCTGTTGGTCGTTCTGACCAGGGCCGAAATCAAGACCGAGGAGAATGTTCTTGTTCTCACTAAAGACAACTTCGATTCGGCCATCAAAGACCACAAGTTCATACTCGTGGAATTCTGTAAGTGCGTCCAGAACGATTCTGATTCATCCGTCGACATTGAAGCAGTCGATCGGAGCTGACAGCCGTACCAGCAGTTTCGGCATAGGTAGCTTGGGAGCGACGCCATTTTTCCGTTCGGGAGCTCTCGATCAGGAATCGAGTTCGGCGAAGGAGGATAAGTGCCGAGCGATAGAGAGATAAATCAATCACGTTCGTTCCGATCCGCGTCACCACCGTAGTCTCGATCGTCATCGGTGGCGGCGTGATGACGATGACTTCTGGGATTCTGGTTACGCGAGAGAAAAACAGTCCGGCTCTTTTATTCGCCGGTCTCTCGAGCCGTTCTCGTCCCCTAGCCATCGCGGTGTGTTCTTGTCCGTCAGCTCCTTCGATAACACTCATGGCCACCTGACCGAGGTTCGTCACGATTCGATACAGAGACAGGATGGATCGTCCTCTCCGGAGGGACCAGAAGTTGAGACGTCGCGACGTCGTTTGGTAGTCGCTCACCAAGTTTCTGCCTCAGACTCTGGAACTACCTTCCACCGAATTATTCTTTTTCCATCCGCTGTGAGCTTCATTCGGAGCGTCGTCGTAACAGCTGCGGCGGCTATCGGGCCTCCGATACAAGAGGCCGGTACACCATTTTTCCGGAGATATATTCCAGGCTTGATTCAGATTCTACAATCGCTCGGTTTGGTCTCCTCGGATTCAGCTGCATTCCCCTAATGAATTTCGTACCTTATGTCGTTTCTCGTCCTCTCGATTTCTTCCCTATTGTGAGGATTGTCGGAGGAAATCCCTGCGAGAAGCCCTTGTTCGGCGCTCCGGGAGAGTTTCATTGGCACCGGCTTACGAACACCCACACTTGCCCGTCTAAGCCTCTTTCCGCCTACGACGAGCGCGCGAGTGACGTGTAAGTTGCAGTTCACGGCTCCTTATCTTTGTACACGACAGCATATGGAATCAGGGGTCTCTCGATTCGTGATGTGCCGCGCCGCCAGGTGGAGCAAACGACTTCGAATACGGGCGGTGACACGTGTTCTAGTGTCGGTAGATTTCCTCAGAAGATCCGGGCGCGACGCGTACTCTGAGGTACTGCTCAAGTCAGAAGTGCTCTTACCCGTTGAGTTTTTCGACCGTACCGACCGGTCATGCTCTGGATGGAATTCCGATGAATCATCGAACGATCACGAAGGGGTCATCTATGGAAGCTGGTTCCAGAACTACTTCAGAATAATCGAGCGGAGAACTCCTATCCTGAGGAACCTGCTTAAATTCGAGGTCGTGAGTTTTTCCGTAATTCTGTCATTCCCCGTAGAGACTCCGTCACAGAAGGCGTGGAGAGTCGCAAACTTGTTGCTTCAGAGAACTCGGCTCAAAGAGACGCGTGGTTCGCCGGTACCGGTTGACGTGGGCCGTTGAACCCGGGAGGGCTTTGCTCCCATCGACGGGGCATGTTGCGGTAGAACGTTTCCATTCAAGATTCACCCGTTTCGGAGAGGCGCTACAGCCTTTCATTTTGAGCGCGATTCCATTGTAGCATTTACAATCGAAGGGAAAGTCTGCGGGAAATACTCTTCCAATCAAACCTCTGATCCCAAGTGAAGGACCTCATCGGAACTCATGTACGCGCCCATCAGATCGTCATGTTCGGACGTATGCAGCATGCGGAGATCTCAGTGGGGTGCATCGCTCCTCACGTGCGACCAGCTGTTATCCCAAGGAGTTTTACCCTGTTGGAAGCTATCGCGTTGGCACACTTGTTACGAACAAAAGCACAATAGAGAACTTTCATCTTGGCCATAGCAGCATAACCGCTGGCGACCCTCTAGCACAGCATTTGTATGCAGTTGAACAGAAGATGCGGACATGCTGCTGCCGAATCCGTCGGTGACCAATCCGCCGGCTACTTCAGCGCATTGTCAAGATTCACGTTCTCCGTGCTCTGATTCCTGTGAATTGAGATGCAGATGCAACGAAGTCCAGTGGAGCGCTCCGGCTAATTCTCTTGATATCAATGTCGCATTCTGGAAAACTGGGGATCTCCCCAGATTTTGGCCGGAACCGGAGTCAGGACGAGAGAAAAAGACCGAATTCGATTTCATCCGCTGAACGTACCCCTTTTCTATCGCAGATGCTCCATGGTGCGGACACTGCAAGGCTCTAGCCCCGGAGTACGCCAAGGCCGCCACCGAGTTGGCTGAGGAAGGATCCGAGCTGAAACTCGGCAAGGTCGATGCCACCGAACAAACGGAACTCGGAGAACGTTTCGAGGTGAGCTCATTGAAACTTTCCCTCAAAAATGAATTCGAAGGAATCCCGTATTGCTCGTCCAACAGGGTCCCGTCAATGAATGGAAGAATTTTGAGGAGTAGCCTCTGGAATGACATCGAGTCGCGAAAAAATAACATCTTTCGATTATTCCCCCAGATCCGAGGCTACCCGACCCTGAAACTCTTCCGTGAAGGTCAACCGGTCGAATACAATGGAGGACGCACCGCACCCGAGATCATCCGTTGGCTCAAGAAGAAGTCTGGCCCTCCTGCGACCGAGCTCGCCACAGCCGATGAACTCGCTGCTTTCAAGGAAGCCAATGAGGTCTTCGTTCTCGGTTGCTTCAAGGACAAGAAGTCTGAAGCCGCTGAGACGTTCTCCAAGGTCGCCGCCACCAGCGACGATTTTCCGTTCGCCATCGCTTCTGAGGACGCTGTCATCGCGGCTGCCGAGGCTCAAGACGGTCAAGTTGTCCTCTTCAAGAAGTTCGACGAAGGACGAAACGTTCTTGACAAGGTCGAGAACGCCGATCAAGTCAAGGACTTCGTTGTCGCCAACTCCCTTCCACTTGTTATTGATTTCACTCACGAATCCGCTTCAAAGATCTTCGGTGGTCCGATCAAGAGTCACAACCTTCTGTTCATCGATCAAAAGGCTGGCGATTTCGACGCCGTTTCCAACAACTATCGTGAGAGCGCCAAGCAGTTCCGAGGCAAAGTTCTTTTCGTCACGATCAACACCGGAAACGACGATCACAGCAGGATTCTCGATTTCTTCGGAATCAAGAAGTCCGACAAGCCTCAGATGAGGATGATCCGTCTCGAAGACGACATGGCCAAGTTCAAGCCCGAGGACGAAACCAACCTCGACCCCGCGGCCGTTTCCGCCTTCGTCCAGGGCGTTCTCAGCGGCGAAGTCAAGCAACACCTTCTCTCCCAGGAGCTCCCCGAGGACTGGGATCGCACACCCGTCAAGGTCCTCGTCGCCAAGAACTTCGATGAGATCGCCTTCGACAAATCCAAGAAGGTCCTCGTCGAGTTCTACGCCCCGTGGTGCGGACATTGCAAGCAACTGGTGCCCATCTACGACCAGCTCGGTGAGGCTTTCAAGGATCAAGACGATGTCGTCATCGCCAAACTCGACGCTACCGCCAACGAACTCGAGCACACCAAGGTCGGCTCCTTCCCAACTTTGAAGCTTTACAAGAAGGAGACCAACGAGGTCGTGGAGTACAATGGAGAACGCACTTTGGAGGGATTGAAGAAATTCATCGAAAGCGACGGCGACTACGGAAAGGCCCCGGCTGAGGATGTTCAAGAAGACGAGGAGAAACAAGAAGATGACGAGCACGGACCTCGTGACGAACTATGAGCAGCTGCAAATCGAAAGATGCGTCGGGAGAAGAAACTGCGGGATTCCCGTTTGTACATTAGTTTCAATGGAGCGGTGTTGTATTTATCTGAAGAGAACTCCTCCTTCATCTCCTCTTGCGAACGGACGTCGCGCCGTTGAGGAGCTCAATTCGGTTGACTGATCGCCTGATTGATTCCTGGACGGGAGATGGCGATTGTGGTTGTTCTGAAATTTCCGTGGCTAAAACAACATTCGCACGAGAAGATAATATGATAAGGAATAGTGAAAAGATGCAAATACACAGTGAGAGAGAAACTGGGGAAGAAATAAGCAAAAAGATGGAAACAATCAATAGATTCTAGTGAAGCTCGGACTAGACATGATCCCTGTTCCGGAAGTTTTGCTGTAAATAAATTCCAAATTCATCGTTGATTCTCTCGAGTTACACTCCGAAACCAAACGAGCGCTGATTTATCGATTCACGACCATAGGAAAGCGGAATGTCAGTTCCTCTAGCTCTAGAGAACCCGAGAAGAGCGAGATCCGGCCCTGGGGACAGAAGGGGTTCGGGTAGCGCTGATGCCAATTGCTCACCAGGACCTAAACGTGTGTCTAGAACACGATCAGCTAACAGTGATCTCCACAGTACGATTTCCGTGATCGGTTTCGTATCTACGGAGCGTGTCGGAGCGCTAAATCGACGTAAAGGAAACTTGGAAACGTGATCCGATGGAAGCCCAGGTGTCTGTCTCTGGTCAAAGGTCCTTCTTGGGATTGCCCAGGCAGATATAACACTTGAGCCTATCGAGCGCTTCCCTCCGAGAAGACGTATGTCTGATGCGGTTCCACGCAGGAAATTTCGTTAATCAGCCTATTCAGGTAAGATCGGCCCGCTTCCAGACATAAACTCCGACGCTTCGCGCTAATCTAACGTCGCGAAACCCGACCTTGGTCCACTCCGATGCGATCACACTTTATTCCCGTCCCGAAAGCGAGCGGAGAAAACATTGGAGCGTAGCGATTTGGTATCGTCCGGAAGATTCGCCGGAAAGGTGGTGCTTCTATGGTTCTATTCAAAATGGCTCTATCGCGGTTGATACCGCAGAACCTCGAAGCCAACGTGAAGCTGGCCGAGGATGAATTCCCCCGGCGTATCGATCTGACTCCGTCAGAGGGCCCATGCGCTCTCCGAATCGAGCTGCTCGTGGACTCAGACGCGAGGCAAACAAGAACGACCAATTTGAGCACCTGCTGTCCAAGCTGAATAACCTGTCTCTGACAATGAGCTGTATTTTTAATTTCGAGAAAAAATGTCCAGGAGGTCAATTATCACAATCAACTAGAATCGGATCCGAGGACTTGCCAGAGAGAAGGTTCGAGTGTCCCTGACATGAGTCATCAAAATCAATCTCGATCCTGTGTTCATGAATCGCCTCCCGAATCGCAACATTCAGAAGGCTCGTGCTACGCAAGAGCGTTCTGTCTCAGCGTTCGTCGACGATCAAGGACGGAGTTTCCTCAGAGCATACTGACCTCCTCGTATCCCATCACATCGCTTCGTTCCCGTGAGAGAGGCCCAACGGTAACAGCGAGGCTCTGGGCCGTCAGCCTCCTTGTTCGAGTCCTGTCCGCTGATTCCGGGACATTACGAAACATTTTCAATGGATCTGTTGAAACATTGTTTCTCTTTAAAGCTTCTGCCATCTGATACATTTGTTCTGATGTTCGAAACTCGAGTTCCTCCTGATTCTTATCGAGCGTGGCCGACAGCTGTTTCCCAGGTGTCGAATCTCCGACGCTCCCAAGTGATGAACATCCGAAGCGAGCGATACTTCCTCATGGTCTCTGTTACAGACGTGACACAGTTAGTAGACAGAGCTATTCATCTGTTTCCACTTCCGCAGTTCTGTACCGGTCCGGGCGCGAAACATCGAGTCCGACATGCGAAGTACTCGCAACCGGAATATTGCCATTGGACATCGGAGCGAACGGAAAGTTTTTCAAGATTCTTTCTGTCGCAACTCGAAACCCGTCTCCGACTCATGCATAGTCCCATAGGGTATGATTCGATGATTAGATTTTCATCCCTGAAACAACCACCGTGAAGCCCTCCCGAGAGTGAGAGCAGATCGATTATTCCTTGATGACTTCCGCTCCTCGGACTGCGTCGTCCAGCGAAGTAAACTTCTGACCAGTTGGACGTCTACATCGCGTAGTCGGAAAATGGGCTCGCCGCTTTGCGACTCGAATTCTGACCGGGCTTAAGAATTTATTCACCTCCTTTGATTGGAATCGACTAGCATCGCTTGCGATGAAAAATCATTATTCGTCGGCGAGGAAACAAATGAAGAGGTCTGACACAGCACTCCATCGATACGGGGAAGGCACGTCAGCATTCCGAACATTGTGGCCGGCGCGACGGGCGCCGTGCCGTTGACACGGGGACACCTGATCATACGGCTAACGCGCTTTTCATCGAAACTGTCATCCTTCGGGAGCAGCGATCCATGCTCCTGTCGCTGCCATCCGAAGCCCCGAATCCATTGGATGGTGCTGATACTCCCGCCGCTACCGACGATGCTGGTGAACGCGTAAAATTTTCTGTGCGCGCGCAGGGAGGCCCCACGCCCTCCCTGGTGAGCCTATCCGAGAGCCAGAAGTCTGTGCTCATGGATTAGCCAGGTAGTCGAAGTTCTGTGTCCCGCCGCCACCCTCGCTACCGCCAAGTTCCGGAAGAGCTCTCTTTCTCAGCTCTCTCCGCTTCCCTCTTTTCCGAAGATTCAATTATTCTGAACCTTGGACCAGTGGGCAGTCATGGTGACGGGAAGATCCACAGAAAGGCGGACAGATCGATGGACGAAGTGACGGACGAACGAACGAAGTGGCAGATCCACTCTGAAGTTGTGCAGTGGCCGTTCTTCCCTTAGCAGAGGGTAGTGGAACCTCCTCTCCAGTGTCGTGTTTCGTCACAACTTCGGAAGAATTCGCGCTTCGTGTACTTCCTGTCAAATCGCTGCTCGTCCGATCTATCCGCAAAAGGCTCCATAAGGAAATTCCTTGTGTTGGTTCTTCTTGTGTACACAGCGATCGTTTCCAGCCGAGCCGCGATCAAGTGTGGAGAATCGAACACTGTTCTCAAAACGCCAGAGAACAAGGAGCCAGAATGCCACACCTGTCAGACGACGAGAGCAGAAACCGTTTTCTGAAGGGCACCTACATGGTGCTCGCCATTCACTGGGGCATCATCACGCTGTGTTCGTTGTTGCCGTTGTGGAGCCAGAACCTCCGCATCTTCCTACAGGACCAGAACGAGACGTTCGTCATCATGGGAGTGTATCTTGGAGTGATTGTGTGCATCACCGCGTGTTTCGGACTCCACCGGAAAGTGCCTTGGAATCTCGGAGCGCTCGCGGTTTTTACGTTGGCATGGATTCTCGTGATTCCTACGGTGACCGCGGCGTCTGAATCGTACGGAGCAATCTTCGTATTTGGGACACTCACCGTAGCGGCCCTTTTCATTTCACTGGTCAGCTGCGTTGAGCGATGGAACGCTCTGAGTAAGTCGACGACGATTTGGACACTTTCCAGACGTTCTCGGTAGCGGTCGTGATTATTATGATTGTCTCGGTCCGATGCTAACCAGTTTGCCTGAGGGAAGTCGAAGGACCGTTTATCGGACGGTGCCGAGCCGAAGCTGAGCATCGTTTCGCGTTCCAGGTTGGACTTCTGTTCTCGTGATCATGGTGTCGGTGATCGGTTCCCATCTAGTGCTCTACCGCTACTCGAAAGAGTCACCGGAGCTCGTTTCGGTCTCGTTGGGACTCTGCGTCCTGAGCATCCTGTACCTCCTGGCCGACAGTGTCTCGATAATGGGTCGGTCGAATTTGAAACTCGAAGACGACGAATACGTTTTCGGAGCTATGACGCTCTATCTGGACCTGTTGGTGCGCACCACGGACTGGATAAGCGGGAGATGTTGTCGTTGCCTGCAATGAAGCTCCGCGGCGCTTCGTTTACTGTATAATTTATCAGTCAGAGGTTTTATACTCCATTTTATATAGTATATTTAGAGGTAGCTATTTATTCATTCGAGCTCCCTACGCGGGAGACTCGGTGCTCTGACAGACTAGCGCCGAGCTGTCACTGAGGAGTAACATATTTATCTAGCAACTGCGTCGCCACGATCGTTCTATACAGATCGTTGAAACACTGCCAACTTCGGTCTCACGACGGCATTCGTCAGCCAAAAGAAACAATAAAGGTATTCCGTGATATTTCCCATTCCGTTTGTGGTGGGAACCTTTTGTCGATACCGCGCATGACGTGACCCGAATGCATGTGGGTTCCAGAAGACCGACTGCCGATTTCGACTCCGAGGTGGAATGAGCAGACGAAGATCCCCCACCTGAGGGAATTCGGAACAACGAAAATCTAGATTTCGGGGAGCGCTTACGTGAACAGCGGGAGGCGTTTCCGAAAATACGAGCGATTTCACTCCCGGGAATCATTTTCCCTTATGGTTCTCGGAATGGGGTCAGAGGCTCTGCTCAGATTTCATCGAATCGCATTTTGATTCCGACCTGACGAGAGGAACTTCTGCGGAGCTAATTGTTTCGTGGCCACGAGCAGACGTCGCGGTCAGAGGAAGCGGGTGTCGCCTTTGACTGGGAATCGAGACGAAGCGTGGCGGAGCATCGGAAACAGCTGTGGACTCATACCCAATGTTGCGGAGCCGTTCCGAGACTGGAGGTAAACATCCTAGCAAGAGGATAGGTCGGGGGAGATTTCGACACTTTTTGTCGAGGTGGAGCAATACACTTCGAGGCATCCCGATTGCATAGAAAGAAATTCATCTTGTGGCGTTCCGGATCGAGTTCGTTCTTCCCCCTATTTAGGGTCTCGCCAAGGGGAACGGCTCCAGGGGAAGTATGACGGAATATAAATATATGTACAACTTTTCGCAGACAGCACAAATTTATTGAGTTATTTCGCAACTTGCATGAGTCACTGCCCACCATATCAGCATAGGAGAAGAGGATCGATGCGCCGATTTCATCGACATAGGGCCACATGGTCAACGAAACCGTCGATTGAATCAAGTCCCTGATCTCTCTATCAAGATCTGAAGTGCAGAAGACAAATTTATTATGGAAAGCAACATCAGGCGCGTCGATCTTTCCTCCAGCAATCATCATCTTTCCGAGCAAGCTGCGATATGAACAGATGTACAATATGAATGTATATTTTCAACTATTCACAAAATCCAATAAAGCACAATCATTCATACGACGCGTTCCACGTTTTTCGATAGAATCGTGTAGTCTATGTGATTCTCTTTGGGAGCTGTGGCATCCAGACGGAATTTCAATTTTTGTTGATAGAAATTCAGAGCTTGCGGGTTGTGCTTGAAAACCGTCAGGATGACTTTCTTCATCTTAAATCTGCAATTAATGAATTCTCGTAGGTCTCCAGAGCGATAGATCACCGATACACTCGAGAGAATGCTTTCTGCGGGATTCGAGTCTCCCTGCAATAATCGAGGGCACTCAAGCCCCCCCGGGTCGGACTCTCGCAGAAGGACGCAATGATATTCCCTCGTCTCACCGAGCTGAATGGCGAAACGGAATCCGCGCAACCGTGCACGTAGCTCTCGACTCTACGTACGCCCTTGATTGAAATGGTTCGATGGTTGTAGACTACGACACCAGCTAGTTCATGTATTCTCACCTTTCTGCAAGCTTATACAGGATGTGCATCAGATGTCCTCCGAGGCCGCGCCTTTGAACCTCCTCGATCAGCTGGATTTCGTAGCAATAGAGGACAGGCAAATCGAAATCCATATCGAATCGATAATGAACGAACGCCACTATTCTCCCATTTGGATCTGTGAGCAGAAAAAGAAGCTCTCCAAAAGTTTTTTAAGAGGGAGCGGACAGACGGGTCAGCGACAGCATCGGATAGGATGCTGACGTACGTATTCTCGGAGACGCGGCCGACTCGACGACGGGTGAATTCTCAGTAGAGTGAGGGTACGCATCATCAGCTAGCGATTCAAGAGTTTTCCATGCTCGACTCACCTCTAGCGATGAGATATTGGGAAGTTTTCTTCGTGAGTTCTTTCCGCTTCTGAGATTCGTTCCATCCCCAGTTAGATTTCTCGTAGAAATCTTTCATGTTCTTCTCTGTCAGTCCGAACAGAAATTCTTTATCTTCGTCCGAGGCGTCGTGAGCCCAACACCGTGAGACCGTGGCCTTGACATCTCCGCTCTCGAACTGCACAAGATCTGCGGAAAGTCAACGATGAATTACTCGGAGAAGTCTCGCTCCCAGAGGCAAGTTCGTCAGGGCGGGTCGATGAAGCGATGGAGATCAGGAGTTTATAACTCTGATGTAATGAAAGATGTCATGGATTCGGGAGCCGTGCGACAAGTCATATTTAAGACTATCATGGGAAAGATTCCCGGACCTTTCTTATCGTCGAAGATATCTTCCAAGCTGTCGTTGCAAGCGTTGGCTATGCGCACCTGGAGAGGGCCCACGTTCTTCTTCTGCCGGGGGGGAGCCATGACAGCGAACACCAGCACAGCGCACAGCAGCAACGAGAGTATAATAAGCGTCTCGACGAGTTGGGACGCACTGATCAGACGAAAACTTCAGGGTTCCCTCCTGACCGCCTTGTCTGAGCCATCGAACGAGCTCGACGTTCGAACGGCGCGACGGAGTTTTGGCGGGATTGCGCGCGAAAATTTAAAAAAGCTTCCATTGACTCGCTGGTGAGGTTGCAGAACCCCTTGATCGTCTTCCCTATAAAACCTATTCGAAGCCGACAGCCCCGTGGTCAGTCCCCTTGTGAGGACACTAATGATTGGGAATTCTTGAGGGAATCAAGAGCAGAGATGCCACGGCCATTCACATTGACTTCGCGATTGCGGTCGCCGGGAGAAGCAATCGGCAGTGGTGTGCGTAGAGCTCTGCGAGAATCTTCTGAACGGGCAAGCTCATGTCGAGCTGAGAGGAATGATCAACGAGAACTAATCAAGTGAGGTTCCCGACGATTCGCAGGGATACACTCACATGTACTTGATCATTGAAGCATCTTAGGTCACCCTCGAGGACTTTCATGCGGACCCGGTGAATATAATATCCGGCGCTCCGTACGAAGAAAAATTTGTGACACACGGGCTTCCGGTAAGTGAACTTTCCTCCCTCGTTTTTATTCGGAGTCATCCGCTATATCACATTATCAATTCAGGGCCCCGACGAGCGATCCTCGGGGAAAAGAGTTGAAGAGAGACGGGCTCTCGGGAATCGCCCCAGCGCTTCCTCTCCATCCACTCCCGAGCTCGACGAGCTTGTCTCATGACTCTTCCCCTCACGAAGAATTCGATGATCCGGGTTGCTCATATAACCTTCACCGAAGTCCCACTGAAGTCCGGAATCTCTTGGGATTCAACTTCATCCCGGAAGAGCTGCAAAGCGTGGGTCCGTTCAATGTTTTCATATTTCTTCCTAGCAACCGCTTCTTGCCTCAGACGAATTGCAGTGAGCTTCTTAAATTTCTCGTCGCGCTGTAGAGGAAACGAATCTTTGAGATCAGAATTTGCACCATATTTTCCCTGCCACGGAACTGTAAACAGCAGAATTGTGGTCGAAAGGACTGTCCAACGTCCGAGGAAAAGCATTGGATGAACTATAGTGTAGGTCGCGAATTCCCGTACGATTTTACTCAGAGCTGTCACGCCTATCGTGTACGAGACTCCTGACACGACGATGACGACCAGGCATGCGCAAACGATCGTCATGTTCGATATCCTCCTGACGCCGCGGATACCTGCGAGAATCAAAATGCTGCCGGGATATGTCTCGAATTCGCAAGGAACCCATACGAGGAAGAAGTCTGTGGAGGAACTTTTCTCAACTCGATTAAAAATTTCCGGATAGATCCAATTTTCCTTCATCCACCGGGCTTCGATCGCTAGCTTCGGCAATAGAGATACCCACCGTAGTAATTTTCACTTTCGCTAGCTCCGGCTCTTGGAGCGGCGCCAGGATTCCCATATATATCGTAGAAATTCCTGGATTTGGCTCCGGGAGTGGTCCATTCGCTCCTTCTCGCAGCATCGCCATACCCGGAGTCATAGGACTCTCTCGAGGATTCATCGGATAGCACCTGCGGAATCGATTGTTTCTTTTATCCACAAAATATGTCGCTGCCATCCTCTCAGAGCAAAGAGTGGGACTCGTCCTCAAATAAGAGCGATCAGGACCGCAGGGGCCAGTGGCAGCAAATTGAGGATTTTTCTGACCTGGTACGCTCTGTTCAGAGAGGCGAATTTCTCAGCTGAACCTCCCAAGTCGGGATGAAATTTCTTGCTCAGACGAACGTAAGCTTCGCGGATTTCCTTCTTGGAGCTCTCTTTCTTGACGCCAAGGGTCTGAAAATGGTAAGCCGATTCGATTGCGCATCCTCGACGCTGTCACTACTATCTGGGGGAGCGCCGGTTCCGCACGCGCTTGAAGTCAACAAACTCACCTTGTAATGATTCGTTTCCCTTCGTCCCGTGGAATAGCCCCGGGACGGAACCCCCAACATTTTATGCGATTCGGCAACGAGAAGGCGCGCAACTTGCATCGCACTGCATGGGAGAGCCATCTCGGGCTCGAGGGTAGACGAGCTCAGCTAATGATCACCGGCCTGAAAAACCCGAGTCTTTGAGAATGGCACGATCAAATCAAGATGGAGCGTCTCAGTACGAGCTGAGAGTGATCCGGAGCAGAAGATTTTGAATTTCGAACGCGGAGGACCCCACGAATACTGAGGTTAATGAGAGCGAACCATTCAATACGATCAGCTGAGAAAGCAGCTGATGTCCCCACTGGCTCGGGATAGCGATGACAGGAGCGGACTCTCGGAGGGGCTCCCCCCCGCTCCCTCTGTGAGGAACGATTCACACTCACGGGTCGACATGATGATTTCACTTTCCGAAATGTCGCTCCACATCGCGTTGACCTGGTAGGGGGCCTTCATGTATTATTGCCTGCGACGCTCAGCACGATGCGTTCATTCGTTCATCCATTGAATGGAAGGCGGGCACAGCCTGTACCTTGAATTTCAGTGCTCCGTTATTTCTTCAAACATACGTATCGATGGATCTTACTTTTGATACGGAACTGGTTGTGAGAGCTCATCCCCGTAGAGCGTCGGTGTGCCATGGCGGTGCACTACGGTACACTGGACGAAGCCTCAATGTCCACCGGAGAACTCCGTCTTGATCATTCATCAGGTAGCGAGCTAGGAAAAAGGGTTCAGATCACAGGCTCAAATATCACGGATCCTGGCACTCGCTTTTCTTTCCGCATGTTGATCTCCGAAGACTCCACGATGGCCGGGGGCTTCTGTCTCGATTCCCGGAATGGGATCAGTGCGAGCTGCACACTTCCCATGTGGGAGAAATCGCGTATGAGAGCAAACATCTGATCGAGCGCAAGTCCCGAGCTCAGAGCTTGTTTCCCGATGATCGATCTATCAAGCTTATCTTACGCTACCCATAAAGGAATCATCAAAAACAGCGAGGGTGGGACGTAATTCCTACCGCGAGAAAGCCGCGCCAGTGGAGCCTTCATCAATCGGGTTTGACTTCCCGGGTCGCTCCCACTGGAGAACGATAGTTTTTTGGAAGTTGCCGTGCAAGATCCCATTCCCCGAGCGACTCTTCTGCTTGAGAGGTCAATGGAGCGGCTCATCGGAAATGGTCGCCCTGCGCGAGCCATCTCCGAAAAATGGACCTACGGCGTCATCAAGCTGTCGGGGACCGGGAATATGGGAATCATCCAGAAATGTCTCTCGCATGAAATTCGTGGGGCGATCCTCAGCGCAACACCTTTGCATTCGGAAGTGCCGTTCGCGACGAATCTCATCGGTGGCAACGACTCGTACAGAGGCTGGCCGCCGTCTCTATTTTCGAGTCGATCAATCGAGTCAGTGACGGTTTCTATTCCTCCTCTGAGGCCTTCACGATTTCTTGCGGTCTGTTCCCCGCTTCCGGTGATAAAAACAACATGCGACGTGTCTCAGCCCTGATGGAAGAAGCTCTTCAACCTCCTACAACCCGCGACGATGTCACGGTTGGCACACCGCGGTTTGGGATAATCTCGTTCGCGCTGAAGCTCACTGTCTATTTCGATTCCGTGTCGTCGAATCGAAAATTACGCAATAAGAATACTACGCGAGAGTCGAGTTGTCATCCGATCGTTTGAGGCGTCGGAACGCTTCAAAATAAATAAACCCTGCGAGCGACAGATCCACCGACGAACGGACGGATGGACGCGAGGACCGACCGACCGACCGTCGAGCCAACCAACCAGCGTGGATGGCGCGCGTGGAGCGCCAGGAGTACAAAGAGCGAGGGTCGAGGAAAGGGTTCAGGGTGTACTTCAGTTCGCGCTGGCAGACCCGATTCGAAATAAGTTATTACCACGTGAACTTGTGCACGTGCTAGCTTCAGAAAAGGATTTGGCGCCGTCAGAAACAGAGACAGCTGGTGAAAATCTCCAAAGAGAGCTGCAGGTAGGTCGACTTCTCTCTGTTCGTCGCCGCGATTTGTGAGGTGTTCGTCATTGGCAATGTTACCACCGCATTCGAAGCTATTGTTCGACAGAAGTCTCCGAGCTCGCTGGTATATAGGACATGGAAAGAAGTCTCGAGTCTCGAAAACCGGGCGAGAGACCTCTGTAGGAGAGAGCGATCAGCCGTAGAGACACACGCAGAGCGGAACCGCTCGCTGAGAACCTTGCTTCTCGCCAACGAAGTTTCTGCTAGGGAGTGTCTTCTTCCGCGTGATCTGTGAGTTTGAGCGAATTTTGATTCGGGCTTCGACGCCAGTCACACCCCGAATCTTCCGAGTGTTTATCAACTGATGTTGCCAACCGGCCTCGCTCGTAATCATTCACTTTGTCGCATGCTCGGGTAAGAAGTCGCCGAGCCACTTGTCGTCCGAAGCGAACAGTGCGGCCAAGGTTTGAGTGCGCGGAACGCCCGACTCAGTGGCGCGCTCGGCGAGGAAATCCGCTTGTGTAAGGAAGAGCCAGACGAATCCATCCGACACTTCTCGCGCATGCGATGTTCTCAAACGTCATGCGTAATGTGGGACTGTCCGATCCTGAGTGTGTCGACAGTGCACGAAGCTTCTCCGCAAGGTCCCTCTCGAGCCTAACGAGCGTTCCCCCGCCGGGAACCGCCAGGATATATCGGAAGGAATTTTTCAGAATCCGCTCATGCTCGAGCGACTGTCAACCTGTCCCTGACCGCTCCCGTCGAACCACGTTTCGCCAACCGGCGTCGGATATTCGTAGACTATTATAGAGTCAGCCGGAGCGGAGGCTCTCGTTGGATGGCACACCAGCGGGGAAAGTCGGGATTCGGTCGACTCCTGCCCGATTTGCTCACACGTGGTACAGAGGCTGCCCTCTCGCCAAACGACGACTGGCGGAGACAAGATCTGGCTGCCCTCCGCCGCCGACTGGACCGTTGAGGCTGTCGCTGTGGCGGCTGGCAAAGCACTCTGTTCAGACACCGACGGGCCATAGCTTTGGGCTCGGATGAGCCAGTCTGAAGCCTAGAAAATCCCGACTTTCAATCACGACTAATTATAGATCTAGGCGGTATCGTTATCGCCTGTATCGAGTCGTAACTGTCTGATTCCCCGCCGTTGCCTGGTTGAGTGAGCGTAGACTCTCTCTGGACGGTGCATGAAGGCCTCTCGGACGCGGGCAACCTACGGGGAAGCTCGACGAGGAATTCTACACGACAAACTCGAATTTCGGTCTCCAGATGAACGAAACGTCAATTGAGCCACCGACGTCGCTGGGAAGAGCTCGGAAAGCTTGAAACGGAATATTTCGAGCGCGCAGAACAATAGACATAGCTGTTGATTGCCATAGGAACTTGGCCAAAGGACGAGTTAGAGAGCGTTCCGTCTTGATTTCGTTCACACTCCTCTTTATGTGAATACAGGACCTATCGGTCTGAGGTACGGCTCTTTCTGTCGACACGCTCGCCAGCGGACCTGTACCTCAGACTGCATGACGTGTTCTGCGGTAGTGCCTCAGTTCCTCGTTTGTCAAACGGTCTCAACTCAAAGTTTTTTGTTTCAAGCAACCATATCTTGTTCGAGTCGGTGAAAGAACGAATGTACGGGTATACGCTGAGACCGACAACGCTAAAACGAATCCGAGTCCATTGAAATTGCTAGCGTCGGTTTCCGCTGATCGCCTATTCAAGTCGTTCAGCTTGTCTATCGCACTGGACCGAGAGAACCGAAAGTGATTCATCTGGTCTCTGGAAACGCTTCAAAGCGTAAACACAGTTCTGAGAGCTCATTGAAAGACCGTATTTCCAGGGGGCACACAGAGAAAACTCGACCGAAGCGCAGATTCCGCTCTCTCGTTTTTCCATATGGTCATCATATGTTGAGTGTTATAGCTTATCACAGGAAAAGCGCGTGCTTGAAGGAAAAATAACTTATTGGGTCAACCTCAATAATTGTCTTCCCGACATTATTCGTCGTCATGGACGTGGTCGGGGAGATTCACGTTCCGATCGTGATCGGCTGCCTGTCGGATGCGGCGATCAGAACGTGATGCGGTGGTTCTGGAGGAGCGAACGTCCGACGGGGATACAAAAATACTGGTTCGGGGAATACTTGTCCACATCCCCTCGCTTCAAATGAAAGTTTTCCGGTCGAATGCTATCATCCCGCTGGAACCATCCGATCCAGCGCGGCTGTGCATTCAGGTCGTTCCTATTTTTTTCGTTCTGTATGCGTGCCTTCCTGGCGTGACGCGTGTGGTGAACCGTTCCGAGCTCTGCGCGTGGGATGTCCTGGACATGGCAAAGCGTCCTCGAGCTCTTTGTGTTGGGTAGGGAAACGGAGACTGGAAAACAAATGACCCTCTCTCTCTCTCTCTCGGAGGGGTGCTCTCGCGCATAACGATTTGAGTGCTAGCCGGTGATTTTGTTCTTCGTCTCGCTGCCGTTCTCAGCGAACAGCGGTGTCCTTGGAGTCTTTTCCTGACGCGTCGTTGTCCCTTTCAGCTTGTCTTCGACCTTCAGGATGCCCTCGCAACATCAACATCCGATTGTGCCCCTCGACTGCGTGATTTCGTAGCGAATCGGAAACCCACGTTATCGTGGAACGATTTTTTTTTCTTTCATCATCGATTCCAACGATTCTCATCGCACCGAGTCAACATGTTCGAGTGGATCGATTTCTCGGACGAGTCGTTCGTGCTTCTTTTCGTCGGCTTCATCGTAGCCTTTTTCTTGGCGTTTGGGGTGGGGGCGAACGATGTCGCGAACTCGTTCGGGACCTCGGTCGGGGCGAAGGTTCTCAGTTTGCGGCAAGCTTGCGTATTAGCGACGATCTGTGAAATCTCCGGCGCCATTCTCATCGGGTACAGAGTTTCGGACACTGTGCGTAAAGGAATATTCGACCTGGGCATCTATCATAACGAAATGGAGCTGCTCATGAAGGGGAATCTGGCCGCTCTGGTAGGCTCAGCCTGCTGGAACATCATCGCGACCTTTTTCTCGCTGCCGATATCGGGCACGCATTCGATTATCGGAGCCGTCCTCGGGTTCACGCTCGTCGCTAAGGGTCTCGAGGGAATTCGTTGGATGGGGCTCGGACAGATCGTCATGTCTTGGTTCATCTCGCCCGTGCTCTCAGGAATGGGCTCGGCGCTCATATTCTACGCAATCAAACGACTCATCTTGAACGAACGCAACCCCCTAGAATCGGGACTAAGGTCCCTACCGGTGTTCTACGCCTTCACAGTTTTCGTCAACGTGATCTCGATACTGTTGGACGGACCCGAGGTGCTCTACTTCCATCTCATCTCTCCCGGAGCGGCTCTCGGCCTGTCCGCGACGATGGCAGGCGCCGTAGCCCTCCTCGTCTGGTATGTCGTGGTGCCTCGTTTGCGCGCCAAGATCATTGCCAAGGTCCTCTCACCGATGATCGGCGAGAAGAACGGGTCCGTGACAAAGGAATCGATCTCGTTTGACACCGTGCACGTGAACATCGATCACAACCAGGAAACCATCACCTCGATAAACTCCATTCAGTCAACGTGCTCATCCACGATCGCCCCCCCATTGAAAAACTTCACGACCAGGCCTCCCATCATCTACCATCCGCAAGTAAGCTTCAGTCCAGAGACAGAAGAACGCCAAGCACCGCCCAATCGACGCAAACGCTGTCGCAAGGGATGTGACCGTTGCAAACGACGATCCCTTGCCAGCTTTGAAGTCGCCATGCTAGAACCCCGGAAGGAGGGAGAGGAACCCCAGAAACCGGAGGAGCCCCCCGAGGCCGCGGAACTGTTCTCGTTCCTCCAGGTGCTGACGGCTATTTTCGGTTCCTTCGCCCACGGTGGCAACGACGTGTCCAACGCGATTGGACCGCTCGTTGCGTTGTTTCTGATCTACAAAGAAAAAACTGTTGAACAAACGTCCGAAACCCCGATTCGAATACTTCTATACGGTGGAGTCGGCATCTCGATAGGACTTTGGGTTTGGGGGAGAAGGGTCATCCAGACCATCGGCGAAGACCTGACGAAGGTGAGGCTATTTCAAAGCCGCGTCTGATCCTTCAGACGCTTTTCGGTATCTCTCGGCCGGGGACGAAGGATGAATAATGATGGATTTTCCAGGTCACTCCGTCGAACGGGTTCTCCATCGAAATCGGCGCGGCGTCCACGGTCCTCTTAGCGTCTAAAATCGGGCTTCCGGTGTCTACAACCCACTGCAAGGTGAGATTGCCCAGTCGGGGGATCCCCATCAGTGGCGGATCTAGAATTTAGGCGGAGGCGGGTGACCAACGAATTTCGGAAGCGACGCGGATTTTCAAACCGCGTGCTTGTCTAATTGATGCCCACCATTTCTCCATCACCAGGTGGGATCGATCGTTTTCGTAGGTTGGGTGAAGTCGACGAATGCCGTCGACTGGAAGTTGTTTCGAGGGATCGTTGCCGCGTGGGTTCTCACTTTGCCCATCGCTGGCGGTCTCAGTGCTGCGACCATGGCTCTACTGATGCATTTCACTTAGCCAATGGAAACTTCTGTATACACAAGGAATGGCGACTGAAGCGGCATGGGAGGGTGAACGCCCGGAATTTCGAGATCAAATATCCCCGCAGCTCGAGAATAGGGTTTAAGCTTGTAAAAAACTTCACTTAGGTAGAGCTGATAGCCAGCGACCAAAAATATATAGTGGCTTGCGAGATCGTGTCGAGCCAATCAGTGGATCAAGCCACGTACACGAACCAAGGAAAAGAGCACAAAAATCATACTTTTCGAAAGATAAAGATTGTGCGAGAGAAATCGAGCGAGAGAGAGTTGCTGCAATTCGAAATAGGTTACATGACACCTCCACCAACAGCCACGGGCACGAAATCGAGAGGAGACGGAATATTGCCGGCCGTTCGAGGCCGTCGCGCTCTATCAGCTGTGTCACCAGGGCCGGGTCCTGCGACTCGGTTAAAGCTCTCGCTGGCTCTTTTTTCTCTCGAAGTATATACTTTAGCCGCAGTAGAAACTCGTTCAGGTGTCTACTGAGAACCGGATCGCATCGGATGCGGACGTTGGAGAGGTTAAGAGCGTTTTACCGAATAAATATATTTTATTCGAGTTTCTCTAGAAATCAGCTCCTCATGTCTGTTCAGCTCGATTGAGACGACTACTCATTGGAGCTCAGCTTGCGCATAGCGTTTCAGATCTTCCATGTCGAGCTGGGGCGATCCGAACACATCGATCGGATCGTTCTGGATGGATCGCTAGGAACTAACTTCGGGACGCTCTCAAAGAATCCGAACGCCAATCGAGTGGCTCGAATTACGGGTGTCTGACGCGTCTCGATTAGCTCACTGGGAACGAATTTTTTTCAGCTCTAAAAATATCGATACCAATCTGTTTGCGAGAGGATGACGGAGGAATGCAATCGAGAGTCGATTCTAGCTGGACGGATTGCCTACGGGGAAGAGTCATACTGGAAAATTCGAGTATCATACCGCTGGAACTGCGTAATCCGAGTGAGTAGCTCGCCCCCCACTCGCGTGGAGCGAGTCACTCCTGTACATAGCTCGGAGCTTTGGCTCCAGGGCTCGCTCCCAGGAATCTCGCGGAGCACTTGCCCCGGGACAGCGGAAAGAGGATCAGATCGACACAGTGTATCCTAGAGTGGCCGACGATCATACCGATGATGACCGTGAACCACTCAGTCGAAAGTCCAGTTCATAGTCCATTCCATGTCCCGGAGATGCAGTCTCATCAAGGGATGTAGTAAGTATCGAGTACAAGCGACAAAATCGCGGGTGTGACTCGCGGACGCAAGCTTCATGGTCAGCCTCACGTTAACCAGCGTAAGTTGCAGTCTGTCTCTGTAAATCTCTTATAAGTACAGCGGCTGACTGACTGGCTAAAAATAGAATTTGAACCGCAGCCAAGTGCCGGTTCGGTTCGTTTGGCCACACGCTTTACCAGCATCTTCGCCTTCTCAGTCTAATTGATCTGGAAGTAGGTATATACTTTCTATCGGACACATTCATCACACTATGTTTCGAGGAGCATTACTCCGACGGCGTGGCGTCGCAGCGAGACTTTCATTCATGAGGAAAACGAGAATTCCGACGAAGAAAATTTCGACCGAGCTCGTCAAAGCAGAAGAAATGCTGATTTGGATAGTGTGATGCCGACTGCAGGGCTCGTGTATCTCGACATCGACTCGTGATCCTCGCTCTATCATAGCGTATTCTAGTTCCCCTTTTCGGAATCAGTCTGACTACCTCGAGCATCTTGTTTGGGAGCCCTGCGCGCCGGGGTCTTTCCAGGAAGTTTCCGACCACTTCGCAATTCTCCAGGACACCATCGCACATGCTTGTGATGTGTTCCAGGTATCCTGAGTAGGTATCGATGGATTTCGCTCAGGGGATATTTTTTCCTTGTTCAATCCGACATGTGGATCTTTTGTGGATTAACGATTTTGATCTCTGAGTGATTGAAGAGCAAAGCTTGACGAAAGCCAAGAGCTGCGTCCAGCGTCGAGAATGTGTTTTCTATTTCTCTTGATACCAACGGATGGTGAGCAACCGATACCGGCCGCGAGCCGCAGAGGATGATCAAATCCAATCTAATCAGAAGTGACGGTTTTCCGCTTCACTGACGAACCTGTCGTTGGGTAATTCGAGTAGCGATAGCAAATCTTTCTAGATTGTAACCTGAACATCCGAACGTAACAGGTTCGCAAGACGTAAGAGCAAACATTGGCGTACGGGAGGAGACCTTCAAATCAGCCGTGACGAACCCGATAAACGGCTGTTCGGATGGGGTGACGCGACCTCGGCTCCGACATTTTCCTCCGATTTCAGGGAGATCTCAAAACATCTGCGATTCCTTTCGAGAGACTCTGCAACAAATCATGAAAAAATTCCACTCGCCTCCTGTACGAAAGAGATACTTTTACACGATCCCGAATATTCTTCCCTGCCGAGCGAACTATTTCCCCTTGCATGCCAAAAGTCATCGCCCCGCGTCTTGCTTCGAGCATCGAGAATAAACCGCCCTTTCTGGAGAAATAAGTAATTTAGAATAATTGAGAGCTCCCAAAATCATGAGCGCTTCGCTCTATGAGATTTATATGGAATATATTCTGGTCCTAAATCAGGAGATAATTCTCCTTATTTCCACAGATCAGGTCATTAGCCTAACGATCGGACTTTCCAAGCACTGACCTTGCTCCTGGGATACTACACGGTCGCTCTTGCTCAGCGACGTCTAGTCTCCATTAAGTTCTTGGAATCGTGCCAAACTCTCGATCGAGGTTTTATATCCGTCGCGCACGAGGCTTCCCCGGCGATGGTTTCGCCGCAGAAGCAGGAGGGCGCTTCGGAGCATCGATCTTCTGTCCTGGGACAGTATGGGAGGAGAGAAACCCCGTCGTCTCTCCCTCGAAATTTCGTTCCCCAGAACGACATTATCATATCCCTTATGTTCTGGAGAAAGACAGCATAGCCTGTCCGGCGCGGTGCACCGACTCCCCAGCGGTATTGAACAGGCTCACAAATAATGCTCCCATCACTCGAGTGTTTCATTCGGGAGAAAAAAAATTCCCCCTCCGTACAGTCCCCATTTTCGCATTTCTCGACCCGTGGATTGCAGAGCTTCCAGCTGGGCCCCCAAGCTCTCGGGATACTGCTGCTTCGAGGAGGAAGAGTATGGAATCGAGATTCTCGAGTGACGAGTCGGGACTGCATCAAAGCTCTCCCAAAATTCTTAGGATCCCGAGGAAATTTTGTACCGGCATGTCCCATCAATCAGGTCGCGGTTCCCGCAAGCTCGAACGCTGTCGGGAGTGGGCTGTCCTCTCTCGAGCATGCCGCGCCGAAGCTGTACGGGAGCGACATCTTATTTGACCTGAGCTGGGTGACCTTCGCGACGTTCCTTATGGATGGGGGCTGATCGTTGGAAATTCAGAATGGAGGGGTATATCCGCAACGGCTTCCATTCAAACCATCAATTTGTTGATAGCTCTCACTTCGGAGACCCATTCGTTCTGCCGGAGGTCGAGGGGACCGGCGCAACCTGTTAGCTTCGCGCGCATGCGCTCCCGGAGCACAACGAGGTGATGCGAAATCAGCTGCCATCTTGCTTCGCAATGCGGATCCGAGACCTTTGAGCGGATCGACATCGCTCCTACGGACGGACTCCGCGTGGAGGCTGCCGCTCGAGTCGGCTTGACATTCCGAGACATTCAATCGGTTTTTTTTCAAAGCTGAGCACTGGACAACCGCAGGGTCGCAAACGCAAAATGTGAGTTCGAATCTTAGAAACTCGGGTACGCTCCAAGCCCAGATGTACCTACTGCACGAAATCAATCGATGAGAACACCTGAATGCGTGTTTTTAGCTCGCTTGAGGAATTGGACGAGCCAGCAAATTATTTGCGGCCATTTCGCCTCGGCTCGTCAAGAGTCGCAGTCCGGATCGGAACAGCGCGGAAGCGTTGGTCGAAGCCCAAGACGGGAAGTTCTAGGCACGAAGACTTCATTAATCCTCGAATTTCGGAATCTGTAGCGTCAGCCAGAGCTACGTCAGAGGAGAGAAACAGGAACGTCGCGTCCCTTAATTTATTACGGTCGCGCGGAAGCGTCCTTGCTCGATTTGCCTTGCCGTTTCGGAGCAGCTGTTTTCGCTCACGATTTCCTTGACTCAATCCTCATCCCTGCGAAGAAGCTGCAAGAATGAGACCAGAGATGAATGATGGAATCGATATTCTTTTGTGGAGGAGCCTCACAATTGTCGTATTTTCCAAATGCTTTTCCGTAACTCCTGCTCAAGGTCACCAACACGTGTGTGCCCGGGAACTCTGTCGTCATAATCACGCAGGGCTCCGGAGAATAATGAGGGCTCTCGTCTCCACAGGCTGCTACGGAAGGACTCCACCTCGAGGAGTCTCTCAGCCGTCTTGATGTCCGTGTTGATTGTCGGGAGTCGCTCGTTTCCAGCTCCAGAATTCCCGACTGAAATCGGTGAGACCCGGTCTCTGGAGTTTCCCTAAATTGAGTCCCTCCCCCCGCCACGAATCTCGATTCCTAAGAAACGATCCTACTTGCAGAAACAGTGGAAGACAATAGTGACACGAGACCTCCAACCGTAAATACACCCGAAGAATCCGCAGCGAAGCAGGTACATGAGTCATAAAGGCTCTGAGCGTCGACAGTCTCCCGGCTCTGCACAATTCTGATGAGAATTGGAAAAGTTATCCGGCAAGGAAATCTGTGTGATTCAGAAATCGCTTATACTCGATTTGTCCTCGCAGACATCGTCGGAGGAACCGCGCAGAATCGCTCTGCGTGAACAGCCGATCCCCCAGGTCTTGAAATTCGATTACTATGACTATCAACAGCTGCCCAACGACCCAGATGACGAGATGCCCGCGCTCCCCGACCACGGTGAGCCTAGGGTCCGGAGTCCGCAAAAGATTCGCGGCGGAAATTATAATTCTTGGAGTTTATCGAACGAAGGAATAAGTACATATATCCATGCTGATCCCAACTGAGGATTCTTCATCCGACACTCGGAGACTGACTTACATCCTTCTTCATCCAGTTGTGAACGTAAATGAAGATTACGCGGGAATCTACGACTATCGCGGCTCGCGAGACGGTCGCTTCCGGAGGAAAAGAACATTGACCACCAATGTAGAGCAGCTGCTGACTCGGTCATCGCGCATACGTTCAAAACGAAGCGTTTCAGAGAACTCCTTCGACGAGAGCGCTGTCGGATCGCCTGCGGAACAAGCCGAGAACCTCGTCACGCTCTTATCTGCGATGCAGGATTCAGACCCTGAGTTTGATGCGTCGGAGTTCCTCAAAGTGAGTCCATTCCTGATTCCTTGTCCATTGACGGCCATCTCCAGACCTGTCTGAGATCTCCCGACTTTTCCTCTCAGCATCGGCAGGGCAATGTGAGAAGGCCCAACGAGCGATCTTATCCTTATTCCTCTGACTTAGGTTCTCGACGCTCAGTCCGTTAGTGAACAAGATTTGGAATACCTTCTGCTCTTGTCTACTCTGGCATCTCAGAAAGATGCGGCGATTCCTGAAGAGTTCCGAGACTTCCCTCGGAACCGACTCCGGCTCGCTGCAGCCAGGGCTTGGGAGCATCCGCGAAAGAACGAGAACGACCCGTTCCGATCTTCCCCGGTGAGTATCCGAGGCGGTCTGGTGGTCGGAGGTTTCATTAGATCGATACAAGAGCTATCTATCCATACATCGAATTTCGAGGTGTCTGAAGAGTTCCGAAATAATGCTCAAAGAAATTTCCTTCTCCTCACAGCTCGTTGTGATGGATGATGGCGAGAGAGATCAGATATTAGCTGAAGAGATGGAGCGCGCGAAAGTGCCTCAAAGAAACGGCGCTCCCAGAATTTACGCTATCTCGTCACTTCACTCGGCAAGGGGGCCGTCTGCGGGGATCGCAATGTGAATATCGAGGACGTCCCTGGAAAATACCCCTTCGGCCTGGATGCGTGGGTAGTAGTCATGAAATCTCGACACAGAATCCCAATTCACGTTCTCCAGGAGCTCAGTACGTCGTTTTTCCTCTGCCAGATTAGATGAGGGAATGCTCCCCTCTCATCTCACCCAAAGGAAACTTCGACCTATGCCATCCCATGAGCCAGACTTCCTTGAGATTGAGCGCCGGAGAACACGCGTAGATTCAAGATGACCAAGAGGAAATCACGCACTCTTCCATCTCGAGCTGATAGTCAGCATGTGATACATCTGCTAGAAAGATCGTCTGTCGTGACGGACAACGCTCTCGGAACGAGCGAATAGTTGACGCAATCTCGACAGAATTCTCATCCTTATGAATGTTTGTATAAAGGCAGACGGTGTGCGCAGACGCTCTGATCGTCGGAGGAGCTCATCCGCATTCGAATTATTTCGTGACTCAGATTTCTCGGGTGTGCGCCGGATAGCATCTGCGATCGCGAACGAATGCCTCTGATATCTCTACGTCATTCATCCCGTCATGCAAACCTATTTTTCCTCCGTTTGAAATTGAGGAACCTTTATTAGATCATTCGGTCGAATCCGCTCCCAGAGAACGCCCGTTCGCGAGCGGAGAATTTCCCGCCATGAGCGCGGTGAGTCTAGCCCAAGTTTCTCATTGATGGGAGCTGCGTTCATCCGAGACGACCATATGCACTCTTCCGGGGTCAGCCCTTCTTGTGATTCGAGCGTTTTCTCTACGAGTTCCGGAAGACGTCTCGGAGCTCGCTCAATATGTGTCCTGATCGGACGCTAGCGATGCATTCTTCCTCGATAGAAACTATAAAAATTCCTTGGTAATCTCACGCTCAGCATGCAAATCCTCCAATACGATATTTACACCGATTCAGGAACCGGATTCCCTTTGCTCTAGCGATTCATCCCTCCATCGGGGTTCTGTTATCGCGAGATCGGGTGCAGTGTTTTATTGTCTCTGTTGATTCGTCCGGAATTACCTTCCCATCGATAGCGAAACCAAGGGGAACGACTCACGCTTCGCGCGAGCTGGAAGCGAATGGATATCGCGCAGCGACCCCCTTGGTATCATCATCAAGGTTATGGCCGACCAGTATCGCTCCTGTACCGAAAACGACGTTGTAGAGAGATGCTCGAGCGAGACCATGCCGAACCAATGGTCAGCGGAGTTCCCCACGCTTTCCGAGCATAAAGTACCTGCGCATACCTCGGAAGTCGACCTTCTGAGCTTGGCGCTTCACCGAGGTATTCCGGGACAATCGCTCGGGGGATCAGGTCATTCTGCATTTTTGAAACGCTTCCTTGAATAAAGAGTGTTTTGGAGTCGCCCAAATCTGATTGTTCTTATTCCAGTCGTGAGAAATATGGACGTGAGATCCGTTTGAGTTTTGAAAATAAATAATTCCTACGATTTCCCTCGATCGGAGCATCCTTCCGCGATATAACTCGCGAGCTCTAGCGAACAACATCTGCAAGCTGCGGAACTCTGAGGTTCCGAATTTTCGAAGTATGATCCCGCGGGGAATCCGGGCCAAACGAGCCTGGGTTGTTGGGGATAAGGTTGAGGCGGTGATTTCAATCGTACCCTCGGCGACGGATTCACCAATCGAACTCTGTGTTTGATGGTGCCGGAAGAAGGAAGCCGTCATTTGGCTCCAAGCTATCCCTCCGCTCCGGACTTCCCGGAGCGATAGAACCCACCAACCAGACCAAGTCTTCCATGAAATCCGACTCCTCGCTGTAGGTAGACCAATGCCGTAGTTGGCCCAGGAAAAGATTCTGTCCTGCGGAGATTCTCCGAGGATGCCGGTCGTGTTTGCGTCGTGAGCTCGAGATCATCCGATCCGTGACACATTTGAATCCGGAAGCGGATTCAACTGTGATCTACGATGAGCGATGGAAACCTCTCAAAACCAGGAGACCACCAATGGACGCGTTGATTCCAGCTCACTTTGAGACATTACGGAATTCCATCGGAAAAAGGTCGGTTGACAGATGAAATTGAGGAAGTCCCCTTCTGGGGCGCTCTCTGCCCGTGCGGTTTCGGTCCCTGCCGACCGAACTTCTCAGATCAGTTGTGCCTGAGCTCGAGAGCCCAAACCAGATTGGCGGCGGTCGCCGCAGCATTACATGTAATTTGCGTGGAATAGGGCATGCTCGGAGCACTCATCCGACGCGAATCTGATCCCTCCCCAGACCATGTGTTCGATTTACATTATCCCTTGGTCGGAGTCGGTCAGAAATTGGTCCGATGACCATCGAGGTATCTCTCTCCCGGATGAGGAGCCGAAGTCGAGGGGACTCAGTCTGTGGAATCCTTATCCGGAAGGTCTTTCCTTCTCTGTCGATGAATTCTCTCCGAACAGTAAGCACAAGCTACGCGAGGCCAGAGAGCAACGTCCCATCCTAGCGAAACGAAACGTCCGACAGCGAGTTTTGGCTCGACAAAATTCAATCCGACTTCAATTTTCAGATGAGGTCGCTCATATTCCCGTGTCTCGTGCTAGCGGTCATCGTCTGCGAATCATATGGAGGTCTATCATCTTTGATTATTTGGTCTTATCTCTCTCAAATCGAGGCATGCCCGTCCATTCGTCGAGCTTCTAGGATGTGCTTTCTATCATCGAATGATGCTCGTCAATATTCTCATTCAGGCTACCGTAGTGCGACTCTTCGTGGTCCTTAATGAACTGGCATGCCCGTCTATTTGAGAGCGGTCGCATATTTGAAATGCCCTTCCATAGTCTTGATCTCTCTCGAGACGGAATAAGATATTCAGTATGTAGTACGATAGGTAGCCGTTGCCGTCGACCTCACAGAAACTGAATACTGATCTGAAATTTTCAGCATTCCTTTGTGGGGATGACCTTTGCCAGGACTGGCAATCTTGCTGCACAGAAGACGATGGGGCTCAACATTGCTGCGCATCTAATACTAGGCCTGAAATCTGCCCCGATAGGAAGCATGACTGTCCTCGAGGCTGGAAGTGCGACTCGGCAGGAGTTTGCAAGAAAGGGTCCTCAAAGATGAAGGCGCGCAAGATCAAAGAAGGTCGCTCAATGAATCGAAGCCGGAATCCTTCGGGTCGTTTCGGCTCTTAAGCCAACGACTCCGAACTCCCCCTATGACGATTACCACCGATCCAGGGGAAGATCTAGTTCGTCGGAAATCACCAGAGCCCTACGCCGCTAAGGAGAGTCGCGCTTGATGAAGTCTTGCGAGCGCAAAAGTCGGGGAGCCTCCGAACTCCGTCTCCACAGCTCTGAATGGCCCACGGCGGGAACAGGCCACGGATCATCAGCGTATTCTCCATTTTCGCGGAAAGATGAATTTCTCAATGAACTACAATGTCTCGTGATCATTCCTTGATGAGTTCATATGCTGATTGACTCTTTAGGAAGGTGCTCCGCAACACAGAGCGGGAGAGCCAATAGGATCCTCGACGCCGTATCCCGGGCGTCTCGCGAAGAAGAGCAAGAATATACAAGATGTATATTCATCACTCTCATATAGCACCGGTTTATATTTTTCATTACTCTATGACCATGGTATGTCGTTGCCGTATCTGGAAATCAGAGCTGCTGCTCCAACTTCGAAAAGTTGGGTGGGACGTAGGTTGATGTTCGACGTAGGACGAGCTCCTGACATCTTCCAATCCTCCGAGATTATTGGTCATCCGCTCTTAACCCTCCATCTGTCGTGTTGAAACACCGATTTCGTGAGGTTAGCGTCGTATGGAGTATTTTTCTGACCGAGGCGCAGGGGATGAGGGAAATATTGACACCGCTCTGAACTACGATGCCGAATCCCGTTATCAAATGGACTTCTCTATAACTGATCCCGTGGATTTGCCGCTTCTGAGCGATCCTGAGACACCGAACACAGGACGGCCGGTGATTGAGGAACTCATTACGCAATGAGGCTCGAGACCCCTCATACCGAAATTTCTGCTTCCGGTCGAGCACCGCCGCATCGTTAATTGAGTAGAATCTGCGCTTCAAAGACGGCCTGTCACGATATTGAACGCACGTTGCCGAAACCAAAACTGACATGCTGAATAATCGATCATCCGAAGGTCCCCTGGCATGGAGATTCGAATGCTCTCGAATACGAACGAACTATCTCTGAGCCTTTTCAAGAGACCGTGATTCTATTATGTTTCTCGCGCATAGGCGGTTCGATGCTCGAGAACCGAGATTCTGAATCTCATTCCGTAGTAGGTACTTCCGAGCAGATGATAAATCAGATGGAGAGCGCAAGCATTCCCGACAGATTGCAGCCAGCAAGAGCATTGAAATCCCCTCACAACCTCACCGCCGAGGATGAGACGCTCATAAGGAACGGAAGAGTCCCCCGAAGTTCTCTGGAGCACTTGAAATAATTTCACTCGCGTTTTGGTAGATTTCGCCTGCGAGAGTTCTCTACCGGCGCGGCAAGTACTGAACGTCGCGCGTGAGAAAGGTCAAAGGATGTTTGTATCCCGATAGAGACAATTCGTGGTCTCCGGTACTTCGAGTCCGGGGAAAATCCATCTCTCACCAAGAATGAAGCGAAATCCCGTTGAATCAGGGTGTTCCCTGTATTCTAGGAGCTTCCTCCCTGCTCGCTCGAATCCTCAATGGAGCTTGGCTGAATTGACTCGAGCATATGAGATCCGAAATTCTCACGGAATTCCGTCTTCCCTCGCATAGTAGACAATTCACCGAACAGGAAATTAGAGCTCCGGAGAGAGATTCTCCGGTCGGAGCAGAAAACCTTCCTCTTCGATTCATGCATCGATTCTTGTTTTGAATCTGTCCCTTTTCATTCTCCTAACGAAGCGTGGTCGACACTGAGCGCCTTATACTCTCTATTCCCCGATGTCTGATCGCTATGAATGATGTGGTGTATGAGGGATGATTAACGCAGTCAAATTTATCATGCACCTCCTCAGACCACTCGAGGGGAGTTCCTTCAAAGCCTTCTGACCGAGCGGGATCTCGGACATAGCACGAATATTGTACGCAGGCGCAAACGAGAAGCCTGATCGGTGAATCGATGGAAATTAGCTGAATGGGGCCCTGGGGCAACACTTGCCGCCGTGTTGTTTTCATTGAAGTGCGAGTCGGTCTCAAGACCCCCTGTGCGTCGAAATGAGTCAGACGGAAGCTTATTCTCACGAGTTCCAATTCGCCCCAATAGATTTTCCCCTACATCGCTCATGTTGGGGACGGAGTGTCGCCGAAGGCGAGAGGAGTCGATCTTCACGAATATCACGGGAGCGATGGACCTGAAATGGAGACGAGTCCCGGTCAGCAACTCTCCTTGGGGGTCATGTCTCCCAAACGAACTCTGAGTCGGTGCACTCGAGCCATTGCAAACCGGAGTAAGTTTGTCGCAACGTCGCAACCTTCTTCTAAAAGGTATCTCGGAGACGGAAACAGCTCTCGTAGAATTCTTCTTCTCTACAGGAAGCGTATTGTGCTCGGACCCATATTTCTTACCGACCACGCATTCGACGGTCTTACTCCTATCTGGCCGACTTATTTGGCCAGGATCGACCTCCTTCCCGGCTTTCCGAGTCCATATAAGGCAGCAGAAGCATTCACCGTCGGCAACTTATATCCGGCCGTTGTGAGTCTGACAAGGCTTTTCCGCAGCTAGTGATTCGCTCGCCATTCCAACGTTATCGCAGGTTTGGGCTTCTATTCTCCTGTCCTTAGTGGCGCTCCCGCTCTTGGCATGACTGCTCTCGAAATACGTCGTGGATGAGAGGAAGATAACGCTCGCCGAACACTGGTCCTTATTCACGGAAATTATTCTCCCGGGATGTGAGGTCCCTATTTATTCCTGAGAGGACCACTTCCGGACGAAATAGTCCATATCCATTTGTTCCCTTGCAGCGACATCCATACAATATTTTCCCGGTGTCCTGCGGATACTTTTCGCGGGCTGGATGTTGGCCACGTTGGTGCTGAGCTCCTCCGGCACCGCCACTCTCAAATCTGTAATGACAGTCCTCACGCCGGAGCATAGAATCAGCTCACTCGAGGAAATCCTCGCGATCGGTCCCTCTCACTTGAAGGTTCGGTCCCTAAGCGGTTGTGGTATGCACGACTCCTTCGAGGTGAGGAGCTAAGGGTTCTGTTCCGTTCAAATAAAAATCATGCCCGCCGCTCAGTGCTCTGGGAGACAACGAAAGGCAAAGCCCTCCGATCTCGAAATAAATCACCGACAACTCTCTTCCTTCGTAGCTCTTTACAAGCCCATCAACAGATTGGCGGACCTGATCGTGAAAAGCGGTGGCATGACTCATCCTTCGGAGACTGAGACTTCCACTATCCTCCGAGAGCTGGAAACGAAGAAGATCTGCTTGACCATGAACTGCGAAATTGCGATACCGATGATGTGCGCGCCTCCTGAGAAGAAACTCTGGGGGACCACCTATTGCATCGAAGGCAACCCGGTATCCCTGATGATGGTTTGGCTCGGCCAAAGAGACCCCGCACCCATCCTCGGACTCATTTACCGAGAACTATCCAAACGGTTCATCTTGACTCACCTATTTCGAATGAAGCCGTAGGAAGGGGGAGAGACCGAGATTCGACGAGACGATCCACCGATTGCGACGTTCAGGAAATCAATTGCTGGGCTCTATTGTGGACAGAGTCGCCGTTCCCATATCTATTGCACTACAAGGCTGGTTCACCACTGATCTTCTCACGATTCCTCGGGTTCGTGGATGTGCCGCAGCCTCCACCGTCTCCTACGTCGTTTGAATACTTGTCAGGACCCTTGATGCTCCACGGAGCCCCGATAGCCTTCACTTGCGCCGTCTTGGCCGTCGAAGTAGCTCTCGAAATCTGGGCTCGCCACCGGACACCACGAAGGACAGGAACAACGCCCCTCATTCGATCTGGACAGATCGGTCGGAACGTTTGGAGCCCCTCTCATTCGAAAGCCTCCGATTTTGGAGAAATCCGAAGCAAAGTCGACGCTTACGCTGAAAGACTTAAAATCCTTCGTGTGCCGCGTTCTCCTGCTGACAATGAGAGTTAAGAGCGCGTCATCCGGCTCAAGAGACACACATGGCGCGTACGCACGGGTGGAGATTCGTCGTTCCGAGTGGATCCATGATTCTCATGATTCTCAGCTCTTCCGTTCGTTTCACCGAAGATTTCTCCGGTGCGAAGCTCGTTCGTTTCCTCGAGCATTCTGTCGATGATGAGCCGAACGAAAATTCACTTTTCGGAAAATGAAACTTCATTTCGAGTGGTGACTATCTTTGTCGAGACGAGAATCTTCTGCATGTCCAGGAGGGGGTCGCATCCCGAATCGAGGCATGCAGTTCATCGAATGAATCTCCAGGAACTGATTCCGACGGTTGAAATATATTGAGTCTCCCCCCTCTCGGGAGAAACTGTTTCCTCCCCTTCTCGACCGATCTTGGTGCGCAGCCCCGGCATATCGGTAAGATTAGCACGTCCGCGAGATCGCGTGAGTCAACGGGAGTTTCAGCGCAAACAGAAATTCGTTGTCCCTCCCAGGGTCGATTACACAAGCGTTTGGAATCAAGGATATCGAGTTGCCTCATCCTGTACCTGCGGCGAAAGGGAGGTATAAGTCGGAGGAACGAAAAGAGACCCATCAGAAGTCTAAGGGAAGGGTAAACGTGAGAGAACTCGACGCCGCAGCGACCGGGAAGAGAATCACTCAGCGGCTCAGTGAGTCTTCAACACGTTGGTCATATCAACAGAGCTTCATTCTCGACATATCGGGCTTTTTGTCGAGCTCCGTGGATCACTTCATTTTCTCGTTGATCGATCGCTGATTTCTGGAATTCTGGAGATTGCCTGCGTCGTGGAAGCACCCCGGTATCGGCTCTTTATATAACCTTTCTACGCTCCTGCGTGATCCTCGGGGAGTCTACAAGAGAAATGGAACTTTCAACTTTGAGAAGTTCCACGACGTGGTTGTCGTTCCTGATGTTGTCCATCCTTTATCTCTGGACGGTAGTCATGGGCGAGGCTCCACAAGAGCTCAATGCTATGAACGTCGTGACTCAGGCTGAGAATTTCGCCCTTCAACGGAATGTCTCACCGACGCAGTTAGTGATCCTATGCACTGGCGGCTGGTTGCTGAAGGAGAGCATCAAACTCAACGCGAGCCTACTCGTCTCAACGCAAGCTACAATGAAGTCAGTGTCAGACTCAGGCGGCTCGGTAATGTCTCTATATCTAGACGTCTTGTCCACCAGCCTGAAGGTTGTCGTCATATCAGAAGCATCTCTGTATCCGAATGTGGCTTTCGGAATACCCGCGGACCCATTCCAGAATTTCCGTCATAACTGCCTATTACACATCTTTCTGGAAGGGGTCTGGA